TTCACCATAACTGGACAGGTCTTGGTGGAATGTGTTGTATCAATGCTCTGACGGTGGCTCAAGTATGGTTTATACAATAGGTAAATTTCTCAAAGCTACGGATGTGCAGGTTTTCTTCCCCAACAGCCTTCTAATCCGTCTTTCAAGTCCGTTAGCTTTTTAAAGACTGAAAGGAACATCATTTGAAAGTTTACTTTATCACGAAATTGAAAATAGCTATGAGCCTTGTCGTTGCCAATATCTGTTTTAGCTAGTTGATGACACATTTGGGATCGCATACTGTCAATATAAATACTTTTGTGTAAATGCTGTAATTTGGTGTTCTGAGTTATATGCATATTAACACACACACAATACATCATTACCTACCGAGGTTTCTTTGCTCTTAATATTTCTTTCCAGACAGCCTTTACCGTACTGTTCAATGAAAAGTGTTCCTCTGTGTCTTTAAAATATTAATTTCGTGTAAAATAGAAAAGTTTCTAAAGATCATGCTTGTATCAGAACATATAAGCGTCTCGTAAATCTACGAGTGTTAATGTGCAGAAGTTTCAACAACCGAGGCTTCTTGAATGAAAATATATTAGCCTCACAACTGTTGTAAATCTACATTAAAGTATGAAAGGTACGATAAGGCCAGCTGCACATAAATGTATTAGTACAAATGGGTTGTAAATCTACATTAAAGTTTAACAGATACGACAAGGCCTGCTGCACATAAATGTATTAGTGCAAGGGGTGTTGTAAATCTACATTAAAGTTTAACAGATACGACAAGGCGTGCTGCACATAAATGTATTAGTCCAACGGGTGTTGTAAATCTACATTAAAGTTTAACAGATACGACAAGGCGTGCTGCAATTAAATGTATTAGTCCAACGGGTGTTGTAAGTATCAGCAACTGATCTCTTTTTAAGAGTTTGCAGTTTTCCCTTTCCCACAGCCTTTCAATTTTTTAGTTTTGTAACTGAAAAAAAAAACCGAATTCGACTTATCACCGCAGTGGCTGGAGGCATTGTATTTGTCATCAATTGCTTTACCTAGTTGATGACACATTTGGGACCTCATTCTTTCAAGACTCGTGTGTAAATTAAACGTGGTGATTTGTAACCAGCATTTGTCGTTTCTGGTTGCTTTTAGTTATGTACATTGACATACACACAATCTATCATTACCTTCTCCTGTTTCTCTTTGTCATGGGTATATAAGTCAACCGCTATCATCGTTTTCCTAACAAAGCAATAATGATAAATGGATATTCCTCTGTATCTCTAAAATATCCATTGATGCCTCATTTACATCCTATTCCTATAGGGGGGTTATGTACTTTCAAAGCTGATTGATGAACAGAGGCTGGCGGCAAATATTCTCAATGTGGCGCATTTATGGTTTGTGTTAAATAATAAATGGAACAAGAAATATGTAGCCAGGGGCCGAAATACTTGACTAAGAGTGACTTAAAAGTTTTCATATTTCACCCACAGATATTTGATGGTGGCAATATTTTAAAATGGGAACATGTAAGACACAGAATTTCGCGTGGAATAGTAGGCTGTGTAGATTATGTGATTATATTGTTATAAGCGAAAGGAATACGTTAACATTTTGTTTCAAATCATTTTCATTGTGGAAGTAGAAAACTGCAAGATTTAATCGGCTCAACGTGTGACCCTATCTTTGGATAGCAAGTACTGGGGATAACAATATACTCATTTGATAACAGTAGTCGAAGTATTTTTTTAAATATTTTGACGACTGCGAGTTGTGTTCAGTAAAGTATAAGTTTCGTTTTATTCATAGACAGGACAGTTTTTGACAGTTTTCCAATGTTAATATTAGTTCAGCCACGGATCCAGTTAAAAGTTTATGTGTCCATCTCTTCTCGTTGAAGGTCCACCTCAGTCTTGCTACCCTACCCGTCCACTGTAAACGCAGCATGTCGCATAAACTACTTGACAGTGTTCCTTGTGTCCATGGTCCCTAGTATGGTGATCTACCTTCAGTTGTTGGCGGTCTATAGCCCATTTTTACATTGTATTGTCCAAAAATAATGTTCTGCTTTTATGCTAGCTAGTTTTAACTCAATCTGTGATAATCTAGTGGTTTTACTATCCTTCGTTGACAGGGTTTTATATATTATATGTATGTATTATGAATTTATAACTAGTTTTAGTCACGATATGGCTGAAATATTGCCGATGTGACTTTAAATCTTAACTCACTTACTCACTGTTCCTTGTGTGTATTTGAAAACTCTGCAGTGTCAGTGATCATGCCTTGGTTTATCAATTTATGCTTGGAATTTCGTTGCTGGCCAATCCTTCATTATTATGTTATCTCCCGAAAATTATGCACATGTAATACTGGTCTCATCTGATCTAAACCTACTGAATGTGAGGATCAAGAACACCTTGTGGTCCTTCACCTGCTACATGTACTGGGGCATTTGCTGTGGTATTTGGTTGGTTTAGTGTCGTTCTGTCGTAGCCTAGTGGTTAAAGCGTTCGCTCGTCACGCCGAAGACCCGGGTTCGATTCCCCACATGGGTACAATGTGTGAAGCCCATTTCTGGTTTCCCCGCCGTGATATTGCTGGAATATTGCTAAAAGCGACGTAAAACCACACTCATTCATTCCTTTCAGTGCAATGATAATGACAGGGCTTTTCCCATGATGTATGATGTTATCTATCACCTTTCATTACTTTTTTCATGTCATCTATAGTATGTATGTGTGCGTGTGTGTGTGCGCGCGCTTGAGAGAGCGAGAACATGCGATCCACAGCTTTAGAGACATTGTGTGGAACATGCCTTCCTTAATGCGTATGTATGAACGCCCGTTTGGACCACAATTTCTAAAATTGCCCTTGGAATCAGGCGATGCTTCATTAATGCCCATCTGTATATGTAACTGAAAAATGAAATATGTTAACGTGTTTCATAGTATCGTCAAAGGTCAATAGTTAGAACCTATTATATTTTGAACTTTTCCTTTCAAGTTAAACGTAATAACATGGCCTTGGGGGTTTCCAATGCCTTTCATTTAGGCGCAGCAAGTATTTGTCCAGCTACGTGTAAATAGTGGACTACAATTGGGATACGATGACATGTGTCAACCAAGTCAGAGAGCCCGACCACCCGATCCCGTTAGTAGCCCCTTACGACAAGCATGGGTGATGTGTGATGAAAGAATCACCGTCAAGCATATTTTACTTGTCTGTGTGGATTTGCAATTGCAAGGGATTCACATTATCAAGCAGTAAACCTGAAAGATATCGTAATAGCTTACTTGAAAGACATTGGTCTGTATCATGAACTGAAATTATGTATGTGTATAACTATTGTTAGAAGCTATGTCCTCAAAGGAGGTTGAAGTACCGTAAAATTATTGTTCTAGTGAGAGGTAAATATGACCAAGTCTTTAAAAGTGTATTTGTATTTACCACATTTTATTCGTAGAATATGTCATGTTCCCTAGTGTGATCAACCTTCAGTTGCTGATGATTATAGCCCGTTTTTATATTGTAATGTTGTCTCTAGTGATTTATTTTCATGTTAGCGTTCTAGTTTTTAAATTAAGAGCTGTGATCGTCTAGCATTTTACTGTCCTTCGATGACAGGTTTTACGTTCTAAACTTTATTGATTTGAATATTGATATAAATTTTTCTCGTCACGATATGTCTTCAATATTGCCGATGTGACGCTAAATATTAACTCACTTGTAGAATATGTGTTCGTTTTATCTTTGGCGAAATTATTTTCATTTTGGCTAACATTTTCATAATCGCCAACATCTGAAGGGATGATGTAAAATCCAGCTGGGGTCCATGCAGTTAGCAAAAGCACTGTCCCAAGTGTGGTGATTTACCTTCAGTTGTTGGCGACGTAAAGCCTCTATCTATATTGTATTGTCTCCAAAAGTAACATAGGTTTAGATTTACATGCTAGTTTTAAACATCATCTGTGACACTCAGTCATTTTACAGTCCTGTGATGACAGGAATTTTAAAAACTTGTATTTATTATGTATGCAAACAATTACCCGTCACTATGTTGCATAAATATTGCCGAGGTGACATTAAATTTTAACTCACTAATTTCTTGTTTTAAAGTGTTTTCAATTGTAAATAATATTGTTATAGCCCGTATTCAAATTGTAAATAAATATTGTAATGTTAAAATGTGGACTGCAAAAATTGCTTGCGAGTGTGACTTTATGTTTATGGGACGTAGACGTGTGACCTTGGTCTCCTCTCTATATGGCTGAAATAAAGTTGATACGATATTGAATTTTAACTCACTCACTTACTGCTGCACAAGAAGCAAAAACACCACAACAATAAAGTAGAAAAACGTAGTGAGTGAATGTTGTTTTATGCATCAGTCAGAAATAATGTTCTGCTTTATCACAGTTGCCTGTGAACAGTAAGCAAAATAGTTTCCAAATTTTGCTAGCCAGTCGGGCTAGCTATGCCTGAAAGTTACTAGCCCACAACATAATTCACTAGCTCGAAATTTGAATGTAGAAACTAAGCAAAAGATTACAAAAATAGATGAGAATAAGATATTGTCGGCATGACACGGGTTTCATCATCAAGCTGCTAATATGATGAACATTTTTATCAGGCCATAATCTTGCATGATTTATAAGTGTATTATAACTTAACAAGTCGGAGAGAGTGTTTACAAAATGACCCCATGAAATTCACTAGCCAGCCGTGCCAGTGACTGTGGACATTAAGGCTGTGTACTGGCAAATAAATTGTATTGCAATATATTGCGATTCAGGTACCCGTATTGCCATATATTGGGAACTTAGTGTTTGACAGTAAGTGACACTAATCGTACATGTCGATCCCATTTTCTACATTATCAGTCCCTAAACATGCATGTTATGATTCTGATAACAGCAGTTTTAAAATAAGGTTGCATAGTCATGGACTCAATTTTCTTTTTTATACATTTTATTAAATTACAATATGCCGTTTTGCATTAGCATTAGAAAGGTATAATTGCCAATGACAATATAGAAAGACATTCACCTACAACCGTACTATATTCAACGGCATTATTCGCAGAAACAAATATCCCCACTGACAATTGTCTCACCCTTGTTCGTGTAAAAGCGACAATTTGAGCAAATGAAATTCCGCTTACCAATGTTAACATTATTTTCACTTAAAGCCGTGCTATGGTAGACATTATTGTGTTATAGTTCAATCGGACTAAACTTTCACAATAATTTTCCCAGCGACGTTCCCCTTCAACGCAGTAAGGAAGGCATGGGGCATCTTTTCAAACCCATGCTGAACCTCTTCTCTGTACTTGACCTTGCCCTGAAACAAGAACACTTCAAGGTGTCAAGACAACGGATTATATACAGTTAAACATCGGCACCTATCTAATCCGGCACACTGTCAAAACCTCTTAAATGTAATACATTCTTCCCAGTTTAGGAGGAGAGAGAGGAAAAACGATGAAATGTCTGTTCTCTTCGCGGCATGAAGTGGCTTTGCGTATACATATTGGAAAGGATACTCTGTCGGTAACGTAGGTATCCATAACAATGGGTGCATTTGTATGACAAAGAGACCCATGGGTGCACTCCATAGCAATTTGATCCATGGATGCAATGTAGCAATGTAAAACAATGTGATTTTTGAATGCAATTAATACAGCATGACACGGGTGCACTTTGTAACAGCGTAGTCCATGGAGTGAGTGAGTTTGGTTTTACGCGGCGGTCTGTAAATAATCCAGTGATCAACAGCATGAGCATCGATCTACGCAATTGGGAACCGATGACATGTGCCAACCAAGTCAGCGAGTGTGACCACCCGATCCCGTTAGTAGCTTGTTACGACAAGCATGGGTTACTGAAGACCAGTTCTAACCCGGACCTTCACGGGTCGTAATCCATGAATGCAGTGTATAACAAGGTGATGTATGGGTGCAATGTATAACAATATGATCCTTGGTTGCAAGATAACAGCATGATCAATGGGTGCAATGTATAACAATAATGTATAACAATGTGATCCATGGTGCAATGTATAACAATTTGATCCATGAATGCAGTGTATAACAAGGTGATGTATGGGTGCAATGTATAACAAATGATCCTTGGTTGCAATATAACAGCATGATCCATGGGTGCAATGTATAACAATGTGATCCATGGTGCAATGTATAACAATGTGATCCATGGTGCAATGTATAACAATGTGATCCATGGTGCAATGTATAACAATGTGATCCATGGTTGCAATGATCCATGGTGCAATGTATAACAATGTGATCCATGCAATGTATAACAATGTATAATGGTTGCAATGGGATCCATGGTGCAATGTATAACAATGTGATCCATGGGTGCAATGTATAACAATGTGATCCATGGTGCAATGTATAACAATGTGATCCATGGTGCAATGTATAACAATGTGATCTATGGGTGCAATGTATATTAATCGTCTCTACGGTTACCTCATTTATCCATTTGAGAATCTGAGTTCTACTCTCCTCGAATTTGTCGGCATGGTCAAGGACTGAGAATCCCTGTATTTTCAGTCTCTTGCACATACAGGCAATGAATGGCGACGGGACTGGAGTACATGGAACAATATAAAATGCTGCATGACACATCAGTATAATACCTATGATGATTTGAACTGGTTGACGGATGATTATCATTGAGCTATAAAAACACGGAATCAGGTAAAGCCTGGAAAGGTCTCTGCATGAAAAGGTTTTGTGCTTAACGCGACAACATTAATCCTGTAATCGGCGTCATTAATGAAGGGTCACGCTATTGGTAACACTGTTACTTAAAGTTGTAAAATGCTTTTGTTTGAAACATATACAACTGAATGTTTTACAAACTTTCTTAACAGTATGGAAAACCCATGAGACCGTTGTAATGTCATTATTACGTTCTTTAATGTTCGATACATTCTGTTACAAATGGCAGCGTTATCGGGACGTGATTCTGGCTCCTATAGAAAGTAACATTCCTGCAAGCTATGCATGGCTTTTATGGTCGACCCTCTTTACATTCGTGACCATCTCGTGTTATTCCGGGACAAGCCGAATAGCGACTCGTGCCCCTCTGGAAGGATTTCATATTGGCGCATGAACATCAGAACTACTTTAAACAAGAACGATAACTCTATTTCTCTTTGATTCCAATGGTTCCGAAGCCCTCGTATATTGTGTTGCTGCTTCACATTCTTACGTAATTAATACTAATTATTACCAGCCTTTCACATTATATTTCCAAATATTTATTATTAAATATGGTTTAAGAATAACAATTGGAACATGCAAATAAGCAAATAAAATATTCTTTTTTTCAGCTGCATTAAATCCCAAAGGAGATATTAAAAAATGACATCAAAATATTTCTCAAACTGAACATTCATGTAACCTGACTGCCAAACCCCTGGTGGAATATTTTTCATGATTTTTTAAACAAAGAAATAATGCCATAAACAATTTAAGTACTCGGGATTATTTTTATCAAAGCACCGCAATCATTGTACGCGATTCTGGTTTTGTAGTATTTTCGCACATAACAAGCATAGAGACGGGGACGAGTCTTCTTGGAGGTTACAAAAAGGGGCGAGTGGTGAGGAATGTGCTTAGAGCTTCCTCAGTGACAAAGGTGTGGCACTTCCGGTCAAATTACTCACTACATCTTTTTGTTTATCCATGCATATTTACTTAATATTTACTAATTTTATTCTTCTTTTGTTTGGGATGTTGGGGTCTCTTTACGGATAACGCGTTTAACGTGTGGTTGCGGATGTGTATCTCTGAACGTACTTAGAGGCTGCTTGTCGCCGTAGTTGTAGGAGGACATAGCGCCGCACACGTTCACCCGCCCGAAGTTGTTCATGTGCTGCAGCACGCGATAGGACAACTCACCACCGACCTGGAAACATATATGGATATTTCGAATATCATCTGCAATTCTCCCCACATGGGCAGTCGTTGTAAGGGATAACAATCAAGGCGGCCGGCCGGTACACAAAACATTTATTCAGGGCGACTGGACAGGACAGAAGACAAGACGAGACTGATGCACACATGCAGCACGGACGACCCGCTAACACTACTCAGACCTGTTTGGCTCACCGTGTCACGTGTGTGATGCACGGGTATCGCCATACTTAAAGGGATCATCCGTCTCATGTTTATATCTCACATCGTACAATGTGTGAAGCCCATTTCTGGTGCCCCCTGCCGTGATATTGCTGGAATATTGCTAAAAGCTGCGTAAAACCAAACTCGCTCATCTACAATTCGTTTTTATCATGGACCTGCAGATGTTTGGACATATTTATTGTTTAACGCCTTTCCATTCAGTAGTCCTTTTAGTATTGTAAATAATGGAACCCATGAAGACTCAGATTAGAACTAGTCCTCAGCCACACATGCTTATCGCAAGAGGTGACGGGATCGGGTAGTCAGACTCGCAGACTTGGTTTATGCATGTCATGTGTCTCAGCTGCGATGCTCATCACGTCAGTCACCGGCTTGCGTGACCCAGACTCAATTATTTGACAAGACAGGTGCCCACGACAAGACCAGAAGCCGCTACCTCGGCTGTATCAACGCCAGTGGTCGTCACCACCGATATTTGCATTGTCAATGGAGCTGTTCCACCACCCTTCTTCTAAGATCTCTCAGTGTATCACGTTACAATGACAATGAAGTTCTTTTGATAAATCATTCATAAGATGGAAGATCAAATACGGTGTCGTATTTTCAAAAACATTCCATTAACACCAAGGTATATAAAGCAGTTACTTTTGTCCGTTGGTATAGTATAGGTCATATGCACGTGAAAAATTAGATGGGCTGTTACGTACGTTGTCAAAGAAACAGTCGACACCATTCGGAGCAGCAGATTTGAGAGCATCGTCCACTTTCGCTTCCCTATAGTTGAACACGTGATCGAACCCAAGACTCTTCAACCAATCACACTTCTTATTAGATCCGACAATCCCAATCACCTTGCAACCCTGAAATGTAGAAATACTGATTGAGAAATATGTTGGCTTCAAAGTGTCATTATATAGAACAAACTTTATGAGTGCGACGTTTCGATACAGATTCTTGTACGTTGTCAAGCATGACATGCTTCTATATTGTACTTCCCAACTTCTAAAATGCCACTCAAAGAAGTTATTCAAAGTGTCATGCAACTCCAATACAATGTAATGGTTTACTCTAAGCAGAAGTTAACACTTTTTACAAGTGACTGGTCGAATATGGTTCCGAACCGCTTTGAAAAGGATTTTAGTAGTATCAAAGTGCTGTTCGCTTGATGACAACGGACACACCGAACGTTTAAGACGTTTCCCAATTTTTGTTGAAACTCTACGTCACTGCAAATCTGGCATTCAAACCATAACATTGGGACCGTCTATTGGTCGCAACTGAAATGAGAAGCTTTACAACGCTTGGCCATAGGTTTCCAGACTGGCGATACCTTGATCTTGGCGATCTGTCCAACCACACTGCCCAGTGCCCCGCCAGACCCGCTGACCAGAACGGTCTCCCCAGCTTTCGGCTCACAGACATCCAGGAGACCCAGATACGCCGTCACTCTGAAACAGTGGAACCAGAATTATTAATATTGATAAAGATATAGTATGTCTCACAGTCCCAGAACCATATTATTTTCCCTACTGCCAATCCCTATCTGCAGTGCTAAAGCCCTAAATACAGCAAGCCTAGATTTCCTCAGGTTCTGAATCTCTGTTCTGTCAGGGGCTCCTATTCAGTTTACATGGGCTTGTTTGTTACTATCAAAATTATATATATTCATAGACTAAGCGTTAGTCTAATAAAGATACGAAACGCATCAAGGTTACAGGAATACGCGTCTGGAATTCATCACGACAGAGGGGGAGGAACGGACGTCTTTTGTATAGTTTTGTCCCTTTCTGGCATACGGATCAGTTTTTCTCTAATCTACGAATGATTACACGTGGCCTGTCAATAGTAAACGTCACTGCGTGGCTTTAAACGATATAACAACGCAGTTTCATTACTATAACAGTTCAAAGTGCCTTTTGCCTCGAAAGTTCGAAACGACTCCTAGGACCACAAAACCGATCTCTGTTCTACGAACGTCATCATGTTAGAGTATGGTAGTTTTGGTTTTATTTTGTTGTTGAGCCATGGAACATTAAAATATACATGACTACCCTGGTGTTAAAAAATAACATAGAAGAAAGTGTAAAACAGGTTATCCTAACTGGCCTTTACCCTGGTATTCCCAGGACTCCAAGAGCAAGGGATGGTTCCTTCCCACCAAAATCAGGCAGCTTAGTCATCTTGACAACCTTAGGGATTTCTTTGGTGTTGATCAACGACCTGGTTCGCCAGCCACAGTAGAGCTGGAGCACCGTCCCAACAGGGTACTCACTGTTCTTGCTCTCTGTCACCCTGGAAGTCGAAAAAGCAATGGATTCATGACAATCTTACACAAAATGCATAAATTTCAGAGTTGTGATTTTAGTTGATACAGTTTTATGTTTGTTTAATTGAAACGAGCAAATAGACAAGACTTGCCTTAAAAATGAAGGAACTGATTCTAGACTACAGTTGATGTCAGTCACAAAGTCATACAATTCAGTCAAACACTTTACGAACATTTATTACGTGTAATGGATCATGTAGAGTGACAGTAACCACTTGTGCAGTACTTGAATTGGAAAAATTGGTAAAATCTTTGTGTCTATCAGCTAGTGCAATTCCTAAAGTAATATATCCCTTATTTGGACTTTCTGTATTTGATATTTTATTTATTTATTATTTTTTTTTGTTTAACGCCGCACTCCAACATTCCATCTATATGATGCGGTCTGTAAATAATCAAGTCTGCACCAGACATCCAAGTGATCAACTTCATGAGCATAGATCTACGCAACTGGGATACCATATCATATAGCCTGACAACCCCATCCCCATTTTTATGGACTGCCTCCGTGGTGTAGTGGTTAGAGCGTCCGCCCGGAGAGCGGAAGGTCGCGGGTTCGATCCCCGACCGCGTCATACCAAAAGACGTTAAAATATAGTACTTGTTGGTCCCTGCCTGGCGCTCGGCATTAATGGGTACAACAATGACTGGTCGGCTCGGAGTCAGTATAATGTGTCTGAGTGGGGTATTCATGCTTCACTGCGGCATGGTATCTCAGTGAGCTAGCACTATAAAACCAGCTTAAGTCTGGGCTAGTACAAGCAGCCGCACATACACATACACACGCATGCACGTCGTCATATGAGCGAAATATTCTCAAGCACGACGTTAAACCCAATTTCACCTCACCTCACCTCACCTCACCTCACCTCACCCATTCTTATGACATGTATGGATTGCTAAAGACCATTTCTAACCCGGGTCTTCACTGGTTCGGGATATGTGAAAGTACAATCAATGTGCGGAATATAGAGAATACTAAACGATGTCCCGAGTTAGATACCAATACCATTCACGAGTTTCATACATATGTTATTACACGGGACATAGTTTAGTATTTTATTTATTACTCATCCAACATCAGCAAAGGTATTAGCATTGTGACGTCATAACTGTAAACCATTTTGACGTCATGCGTACGGCATCATGCATTGTTATTACACAAAGAGAGGATATTATATGAGTGCCCATGTCATACTATGTTTACGAAACGAGTGCCTACATGTTGGTAGCGAGGGATATGCCGATATTTTGGCTCGAGTGTCGTAAAGATAGTTTGATATGGCCAATATAATATTCTGTTTATTGCCGAAGTCGTCAAATTGAGGGGGAAAAAACCAAATCTACAATCTACTTTCAAACATAGGCTGGCTGCCCGCCGTCGCCGCATATAGAACCCAACGCAACAGAAGAAACGTGACGTCATAGCATTGTTCATGACGTCACGTCACCAAGACAAAGTGATATTTTGCCTAGTGTATCGTATGATAAATATGAACCCCGAAATTTTCGCCCACGTAGGTAATAATGTGTAATAATATTGTAAAATGATTAAACAGTGATACCTTCAACGAGTTAGTAATAAACCTGTTTCTGTTACCGTGCAACTTGATACCCCATGAGTGGTGACCCAACAGGTGCTGTATCCGAGCTCCTCCTGCAGATGAACGAATCCAACACCAATACATTCTAGAGTAAAACCAGATAGTAATATGGTCTGTACTGAACATGGAAGGACCAAGTAATCAACGTTTCAACACATTGCTCTGATATTTCATTGTTCGTTTTGTGGTTTGAAAACAACTATACTCATCGAAACAAGAAAAGGAACACACGAAAATGCAAGTGTTTCTATACTCTTTTCAGGGGTTCTAGTCCTGCTTTATAATGCACTGGGGGCGGTGGGGTAGCTTAGTGGTTAAAGCGTTGGCTCGTCACGCCAAAGACCCGGGTTCGATTCCCCACATGGGCAAAATGTGTGAAGCCCATTTCTGGTGTCCCCCGCCGTGATATTGCTGGAATAATGCTAAAAAAAAGCGGCGTAAAACTAAACTGAGTCAGTCAGTCAGTTATATTGCACTGTGGGTGGAAATCTGGAAATAAATAAAGGAACACTTGTACTTTCCACTTGTTCCTTTATTCGTTTTATTCGTTTCCATGAGTATATGTAATATAAATCTTAATGGTAATATCAGTACTTTTCATTCAGAAATCCTATATTAACGTTATTGATATAGCGATGTACGCGATCAAATTCATAGCATCAACGAAAGTATATTCAAGGGGAGACAACCCTTCGTCCAATAAGTAAGGCTGGCGTAACGGTATCACACTGCACATGAATGGCTTCAAAGAAAAATACAATAAGCTGCGATTTAACGTTCTGATAAACCCTGTGCTAGATCCCAGAATGGGTGACAGTAACTAACATATGAACAACGTGGAATGGCTAATGAGTGCCGTCACATCTGTTTCAGGACAAACGTTAACTACCTCCTCACCGTTCGTATGGGTTGACACTCAGGTACAGAGCCTCACACGCAAACTCTGCAACACAACCGCTAAAGGTTAACAATATCGTTTACATCTCGTCAAAAACAATCGAAGACATTCACAAGACGTAAATTAGTAAACGGATATGAATAAGATGAAGGAAAGCAATTAACAATATATCATCACTTTCATAATTTTATGCTTACTGCAACTACCGTTGAAACATTAGTGAGTGAGTGAGTGAGTGAGGTCGGTTTTACGCCGCTTTTAGCAATAGTCTAGCAATATCACGGCGGGGGACACCAGAAATGGGCTTCATACATTGTACCCATGTGGGGAATCGAACCCGGGTCTTCGGCGTGACGAGTGAATGCTTTAACCACTAGGCTACCCCAGCGCCCCTATCATAGCGCACATTCTATCACAGCACAGCATGTTTTATATGTTGTATTGTGTATCGTTTTAGATTTTACTTCTGTATCTGCGTTTTTCTGGTTGTGTTTAATGTAGTTTGTCAACAGTTTTTACATTCTCGGTTTATGCGTCATGAATGTATAGCTTGTTTTATATGTTGTATTGTGTATAGTTTTAGATCTTACTTCTGTATCTGTGTTTTTCTGGTTGTGTTTAATGTAGTTTGTCAACAGTTTTTACATTCTCGGTTTATGCATCATGAATGTATAGCTTGCTTTATATGTTGTATTGTGTATAGTTTTAGATTTTACTTCTGTATCTGCGTTTTTCTGGTTGTGTTTAATGTAGTTTGTCAACAGGTTTTTACATTCTCGGTTTATGCGTCATGAATGTATAGCATGTTTTATATGTTGTATTGTGTATAGTTTTACATTTTACTTCTGTATCTGCATTTTTCTGGTTGTGTTTAATGTAGTTTGTCAACAGTTTTTGCATTCTCGGTTTATGCGTCATGAATGTATAGCTTGTTTTATATGTTGTATTGTGTATAGTTTTAGATTTTACTTCTGTATCTGCATTTTTCTGGTTGTGTTTAATGTAGTTTGTCAACAGTTTTTGCATTCTCGGTTTATGCGTCATGAATGTATAGCATGTTTTATATGTTGTATTGAGTATAGTTTTAGATTTTACTTCTGTATCTGCGTTTTTCTGGTTGTGTTTAATGTAGTTTGTCAACAGTTTTTACATTCTCGGTTTATGCGTCATGAATGTATAGCTTGTTTTATGTGTTGTATTGTGTATAGTTTTACATTTTACTTCTGTATCTGCATTTTTCTGGTTGTGTTTAATGTAGTTTGTCAACAGTTTTTACATTCTCGGTTTATGCGTCATGAATGTATAGCATGTTTTATATGTTGTATTGGGTATAGTTTTAGATTTTACTTCTGTATCTGCATTTTTCTGGTTGTGTTTAGTGTAGTTTGTCAACAGTTAATACATTCTCGGTTTATGCGTCATGAATGTATAGCATGTTTTATATGTTGTATTGAGTATAGTTTTAGATTTTACTTCTGTATCTGCGTTTTTCTGGTTGTGTTTAATGTAGTTTGTCAACAGGTTTTCATATTCTCGGTTTATGCGTCATGAATGTATAGCATGTTTTATATGTTGTATTGTGTATAGTTTTAGATCTTACTTCTGTATCTGTGTTTTTCTGGTTGTGTTTAATGTAGTTTGTCAACAGTTTTTACATTCTCGGTTTATGCGTCATGAATGTATAGCATGTTTTATATGTTGTATTGTGTATAGTTTTAGATTTTACTTCTGTATCTGTGTTTTTCTGGTTGTGTTTAATGTAGTTTGTCAACAGTTTTTACATTCTCGGTTTATGCGTCATGAATGTATAGCTTGTTTTATGTGTTGTATTGTGTATAGTTTTACATTTTACTTCTGTATCTGCATTTTTCTGGTTGTGTTTAATGTAGTTTGTCAACAGTTTTTACATTCTCGGTTTATGCGTCATGAATGTATAGCATGTTTTATATGTTGTATTGGGTATAGTTTTAGATTTTACTTCTGTATCTGCGTTTTTCTGGTTGTGTTTAATGTAGTTTGTCAACAGGTTTTCATATTCTAGGTTTATGCGTCATGAATGTATAGCATGTTTTATATGTTGTATTGTGTATAGTTTTAGATTTTACTTCAGAATCTGTATCTGCGTTTTTTCTGGTTGTGTTTAATGTAGTTTGTCAACAGTTTTTACATTCTCGGTTTATGCGTCATGAATGTATAGCATGTTTTATATGTTGTATTGTGTATAGTTTTAGATTTTACTTCAGAATCTGTATCTGCGTTTTTCTGGTTGTGTTTAATGTAGTTTGTCAACAGTTAATACATTCTCGGTTTATGCGTCATGAATGTATAGCTTGTTTTATATGTTGTATTGTGTATAGTTTTACATTTTACTTCTGTATCTGCGTTTTTCTGGTTGTGTTTAATGTAGTTTGTCAACAGGTTTTCATATTCTAGGTTTATGCGTCATGAATGTATAGCATGTTTTATATGTTGTATTGTGTATAGTTTTAGATTTTACTTCAGAATCTGTATCTGCGTTTTTCTGGTTGTGTTTAATGTAGTTTGTCAACAGTTTTTACATTCTCGGTTTATGCGTCATGAATGTATAGCATGTTTTATATGTTGTATTGTGTATAGTTTTAGATTTTACTTCAGAATCTGTATCTGCGTTTTTCTGGTTGTGTTTAATGTAGTTTGTCAACAGTTAATACATTCTCGGTTTATGCGTCATGAATGTATAGCATGTTTTATATGTTGTATTGTGTATAGTTTTAGATTTTACTTCAGAATCTGTATCTGCGTTTTTCTGGTTGTGTTTAATGTAGTTTGTCAACAGGTTTTCATATTCTAGGTTTATGCGTCATGAATGTATAGCTTGTTTTATATGTTGTATTGTGTATAGTTTTAGATTTTACTTCTGTATCTGTGTTTTTCTGGTTGTGTTTAATGTAGTTTGTCAATAGGTTTTCATATTCTCGGTTTCTGCGTCATGAATGTATAACTTGATTTGTCACTATATGGCTGAAATACTGTTGATGGGACTAAAACTCGTAACTCACTCACTATATAACTGGAGATATACTGGACAAAAAAAGTTAGGGGTATATGTAAATTTTCAAATTATAAAAAATGATCTATTTATTCATTGACACACTGATAAAATATCAATCATAAAAATACCAATATCCCTAACTTATTTTGTCCAGTATATATAGAGGCCTACAAGAGCACCTGCAGATTGTGGTTCCGATGTAAAACTGCTCCATACAGCTGTATGCGGTCTCAGATTGTCATTTTGAGAGATGGCGTTGAAATAGTTCATATTGGGAACAGCGTGCCTTACTTCACAACAGTTTTGGGTGATTATGAGCTCTCCCATCTGACTTCATCTCTAACAGGCCGTCTGCCCTAACTCTGATACCAAAGCTAAAGAAGAGATATTGTTTGGGGATATATTATAACGCCAGTATATCCACTGACTGAGTGAGTGTGGTTTAACGCCGCTTTTGGCAGTATCCAGCAACATATCAGCGGGGGACACCAGAATGGGGGACACCAGAAATGGAATATTGCTGAGTGCGCCGTAAAACTAAACTCATTCACTCACTCACTGAAGTGATGCAGAACACAGAAGCTTACCACATTAGTTGGTTGGCTATACTGTTTAACGCCGCACTCAGCAATATTTGAGCTATATGGCGGCGGTCTGTAAATATTCGAGTCTGGACCAGACACTCCAGTGATCAACATCATGAGCATCGATCTACGCAACCAAGTCAGCGAGTCTGACCACCCGATCCTGTTAGTCGCCTCTTATTACAAGCATGGGTTGCTGAAGACCAATTCTAGTTCGGATCTTCACGGGTCTTATCACATTAGTGAAGCCCACTGATACTGATTATATGAGGGTTAATGTGTTTAGAATAGGGCTGCAACGATTCACCCAGACCTAGATTCGATTCGATTTCATTTAACTCTCAGAGTCGGCTTTTTTAGCGTGAAATCCATCGTCAACTTGGCGATGTCTACTAACAACAATTCTTATAGCCCGGCGTCAACCAATCACATTTCGTCTTATTTAATGGCTCGAGACTGCTCGAGTTGAAGTCAAAATTACGTTCTGGCTCTGTGGAAATAATTAGAATAGTTATTCAAATATCGAATCGAAATAGTGATAATGCTTACTGCTTATCGAAAATAGAAACTAAGGTGTCAGATTCGATCTTCAATGAATCAAACCGAATCGTTGCAGCCCTAGTTTAGAACAGGATAAATTTATCATTTTTATAGTGTTGCAGTTCCTGTTAAGCGAGAAAAGGTTTTTCCCACTTAGTCCAGGAGGAGAATCTCAAAAGGGGCCTAGAAATGGGATTTCGTAGCCTGCCCAGTACTGATTTTGTTTGACACTATTTTCAGTTAGTATGATGTCTTGGGCTCATGAAAAAGCCTGTAATACTCTCAGATTGTGGTATCAGGGTTTTTACAGGCCATTATATGTGGTGGGGGTCTGCGAGCATTTACGTCACATTTGGTTTGCTGCCCGACAACACCTCAAAGTTAATCATTAATAGTTTTACTACTATCAATCTGATCACTTTCATTTTGACTTCTGTGTACTGCTAAAGGATGTAGAAATTATTTGACATATTTTTTTTTGAAAAAAATCAAAATGGCCGTCATTTTTGCCGCCCTTTACTTTTGTCGTGTTTTGCCTTCTCAGCACTTAAATCTACATAAAAATGAACACCGAATGTTTCCATTTACATACAAAGCTGGTACATTTGATGTGTTTTGACACTTATTTCTCCTAGAGTGATGGCTTGGGCACAAAACAAGTCATTTGGTTGGTCATATCTTAGTAATTTAATGTTTTACAGGTTATTCTTTGAGACAGGGGTATTTTAGCGATTCTCCGACTTTTCATGGAAATGTGTGAGGGTGATTTATTTAATGGCAGTTAGCATTATTTTTGTTACTAAAACAAGTTGTTTTTGTTTTCTCTTTACTTCTTGAGTGACGGCATATTATTAGGGATTTTTATATATTACCCAGAATTCAAAATAGCCGCCAAAATGGCCGCCATTGTAGTTTAACTACATATACTTATTGGAGGACTAAATTTGTACTGATATGAAATCCAAACAACTCATTTGGTGTCTAATGTTTAATACAGTATATGAATAGAGCTAAATTTCAATGATAGGGTCAATCAAAGCTTCACACTTCTAAAATATTTGATGAAATAACATTATCGAAAAGTGTTTGAAAACTATGCTTCATGGCCGATAACTAAGCTTTGGTTGTAGGCATTGAAATTGTTCTATCAGATAACTCTTAATCACTTTTGATACATCCATAAGCTTGCAATTAACCCTCCTTTTCACTTTCTTTCATTTCATATGTTACATCATGTCACAATCGGACGTGTAGAGGCCCGGGTTAGAATCGATCTTCAATAACCCATGCTTGTCGTAATGGGCAACCAACGGGATCTGGTTGTCAGGCTTGCTGACTGGGTTGACACATGTCATCGTATCCCAATTGCCTAGATTGATGCTCATGCTGTTGATCCCTGGGTTGTTTGGTCCAGACTCGATTATTTGCAGACTGCTGCCATATAGCTGGAATATTGCTGAGTGCGGTGTAAACTAAACACATTCACTCATGTCAGAATCGGAGTCATCTACTGGCAACAAGTCAAAGGTGTTCGGGCAACAATCATCTGCCATACAAAAAGACATGCCTATGTGCACACTATATCATTCTTTCTGCTGGCATGCTGACTTTTTGCATTTACATGATGTCAGTTCAACCAATCCATGGGGAGCAGGATCTCTCGACATGAGAATAGTGATAAGCTGACCATCACAAATGCTCCAACCATTGTCAACTGGTGAAGGAATGTTCATGATTGGTTGCAGAGACTGTTTCCAAATATGGACTTTGTAGTTTACTCGTTCAATGTGATGTTTAGACTGTTCGATGTTGCCGGAAGGTTTTCATTCAATATCTTGTGTCATCTACAGACATCACTGGATTATTTGGTACATGCATAGAACTCACAAACTGGCCACAAGATGTAAAGAGTGTTTCTTGAACATCCAAATTGTCATCCATTTGTTACGTGAAACCTCTCATACCCGGGCTTTACAGCCCTTTTGGGAATCAATGTAGAAAAGGTTTCAGGTTCAGTCGATGTAATGGTGACCACAAGTTTGTCCTGGAAGAGTTCAATCGACTACTTATGAAGTTATCCCTTTGCTCTGCCCCAATCTGTTTAACATGCAAGAGGCTGTGAATCATATCCTTTGGGACAACAACTCCACTTCCAATGTTGACAAGATGCAGACATCATTCATTTTGAAGATTGAATGTGAACATGGACATTTCTAGTGTTCATTTTACAATGGCTCATTCAGATGGAACATTAAGAAAGAACATCAAAAGCGGTTTGTTAAATGAACTTTAAAAGGGAGCTTTTGATCCTTCGCTGCTTATACTAGCAGAAGAGAGAATGTTGCCAGTTCATATAGGTGATGGAATGGCAAAATTCCAAATTTGGACACTTGGCTGATATGCATTGGGACAACTTCACTTCAATTCTGAATCGAACAGACTGCATTATAGTTGATGTTGTTTGGTACAGGTATGCCAGACAAGAGTCAATCAAAGCAGGGGAGCAAATCAAAAGAGGATTGCCAACGGCGCTAGAAGTCAAGATTGTTGGCAAAAACAAACCACTGCCAAGACAATGGGACAAACTCAGTACGTCTGTCTCGTCTTTACCCCGTCCCCAGACAGTTGGTGTTACGTTTAGAGTGGGTAAAATTGCCCGTTCACCCCGTGTGGACAACGTTTTCAAGCAGTCCAATCCCGTCCATAGTCGCTTTATATCCCTTCTGAACTAAACCTATCTCGTTCTTAATGCGAACAAACCCCGTTCTAACTCATTTTCTAAACCAACTCATTTTCAGGCACTTCTTCCCATTCTCACTACTTTCTCACTCCGTTTCTAGTGCGTGCAATCGTAATAGCAATCACTTCCTCATTCGGTTTATATAAATACCCTGCCCATTATTATTCCGTTCTCAGTTTCAAGGTGGAAACATTCACATCACCATGCCTCCAAGGAAGAAGAAGGGTGAACATCTAATTTATAAAGGGGTCAATGCGTTCAAGAAGTTCATCAAACATGGGAGGGGCGATTCTCAAGAAATTGTAGAAGGGCTCATGATCATCAAGGCGGAGCTCCTCCATCAGTTGATGATAATGTCCCACAGCTATTCACCTCTCAGGTTTAAGCCAGTTCCTCACCCAATAAGTTCTTATGTTTTCCTTCTTTCGAGCTCTACCAATTCATTGTACTCTTGCTCTGCTTCCGATAAAAATTGCAGGAAACCAGCGATTCCGTTCGTAGTATGGCAATTCCGTTCTTAGTATCGCAATCTCATTTTAAGTACGTTATTACTCCGTCCCATTTTAGAACGTGTAGAACGTTCAACATGGAGAATTGACTTACAGAAGTCCTCTGAAAATCACCAACAAACATTGACACAATTGGGTGACAATTTGGATGTTCAAGAAACACTCATTACATCTTGTGGCCACTTTGTGAGTTCTATGTATGTACCAAATAATCCAGTGATGTCTGTAGATGACACAAGATATTGAATGAAAACCTCCCACCAACATCGAACAGTCTAAAACATCACATTGAACGATTAAACTACAAAGTCCATATTTGGAAACAGTCTCTGCAACCAATCATGAACATTCCTTCACCGGTTGACAATGGTTGGAGCATTTGTGATGGTCAGCTATTCTGATGTCGAGAGATCTCCCCATGGATTGGTTGAACTGACATCGTGTAAATGCAAAAAGTCAGCATGCCAGCAGAAAGAATGATATAGTGTGCACATAGGCATGTCTATTTGTATGGCAGATGATTGTTGCCTGAACACCTTTGACTTGTTTGACAACCCAGTCAGCGAGCCTCACAACCAGATCCCGTTAGTCGCCTCTTACGACAAGCATGGGTTATTGAAGGCCAATTCTAACCCGGATCTTCACAGGTCCGATTGTGACATGATGTAACATATGAAATTAAAGAAAGTGAAAACGAGGGTTAATTGCAAGCTTATGGATGTATCAAAAGTGATTAAGAGTCATCTGATAGAACAATTTGAATACCTACAACCAAAGCTTAGACGTAGTTATCGGCCATGAAGCATAGTTTTCAAACACTTTTGGATAATGTTATTTCATCAAATATTTTAGAAGTGTGAAGCTTTGATTGACCCTATCATTGAAATTTAGCTCTATTCATATACTGTATTACACATTAGACACCAAATGAGTTGTTTGGATTTCATATCAGTACAAATTTAGTCCTCCAATAAGTATATGTAGTTAAACTACAATGGCGGCCAATTTGGTGGCCATTTTGAATTCTGGGTAATATGTAAACATTCCTAATAACATGCCGTCACTCTAGAAGTAAAGAGAAAACAAAAACAACTTGTTTTAGTAACCAAAATAATGTTAACTGCCATTAAATAAATCACTCTCACACATTTCCATGAAAAGTCGGAGAATTTCAAAAATACCCCTGTCTCAAAGAATAAGCTGTAAAACATTAAATTACCATTCTATCACCATACAAAATAACTTGTTTTGTGCCCAAGCCATCACTCTAAGAGAAACAGTTGTCAAAACACATCAAAAGTATCATCTTTGTATGTAAATGGAAACATTCGGTGTTCATTTTTATGTAGATTTAAATGCTGAGAAGGCAAAACACGACAAAACAAAATGGCGGCAAAAATGACGGCCATTCTGTTTTTTGTTTTCAAAACAAAATTATGTCAAATAATTTCTACATCCTTTAGCAGTACACAGAAGTCAAAATGAAAGTGATCAGATTGATAGTAGTAAAACTATTAATGATTAACTTTGAGGTGTTGTCGGGCAGCAAACCAAATGTGACTTAAATGCTCGCAGACCCCCACCACATATAATGGCCTGTAAAAAAAACCTGATACCACAATCTGAGAGTATTACAGGCCTTTTCATGAGCCCAAGACATCATACTAACTGAAAATAGTGTCAAACAAAATCAGTACTGGGGAGGCTACGATTTGAAATTTTTCAGCTGCCTCCTCCTGGACTAACTGAAGGATATTGGATTCAAGCTAGTCTATCATACAGACCCTGAAGCAAATATATCCAAGAAAGCCCACGCAAGTCTAGAAAATGTGGCAAGTCTAGAATTCCTCAGCTTCAGGAATATCAAGAGACGCTACCCTTAGTTTGTATCCCTGCTTGCTCTTGATACTCATTACCCCAAATCGGCCAACACTGCTGGCAGTAGGACCGGGAGGCGGTGGGGGCAGTAAATATTCCTGTCACACACAATTAAAGCAGTGATGGGTGATAAGAACCTTTGTAAATGTTGTGAAATTCCAAGAAATTATCCCTCTGCAGATTTGTTTTGTCTCTGAAAATGAAGAAAGTCTGAGGGCTCCTTTTCATTATATTGTTTTTTTAATTAGAATTTTTTGTCAGTAAAATATGTTCATTTCAGAGACTAGTTGTTAGTCTGAAAATGAAGAAAGTCTCAGGGTTCCTTTTCATTATATTTTTTATTTACTATGAATTTCTTTTCAGTAAAATATGTTCATTTCAGAGACTAGTTGTTAGTCTAGATTAACCTAAGCCTAATGATGCCCGGATCTCAATTATAACCTAAGCTGGATCTGCCTCCATTACCAAACTGAGTCTAATGTTTCAACTTCGATTCCCCACATGGGTACAATGTGTGAAGCCCATTTCTGGTGTCCCCCGCCGTGATATTGCTGGAATAGTGCTTAAAGCAGCGTAAAACTAACCTCACTCACTCACTAATGTTTCAACGGTAGTTGCAGTAAGCATAAAATTATGAAAGTGAATTGAGGTGACGTTTAGCCTTCCTACCTCCCTGTTTCGGTGCTGGCACGTCTTCCTCGATGAGGCGAAAGTTGGATTCCGTGGGTGCCCCATCGAACGTCTTCCCTATCACCCAAGCCTTTGCCATCACCATTGTCTATCCGTGGCAGATCTGCTGTGTTACCTAGGGCTGCCTCAGCTTGCGGTGTGGAAAGCTGTACGTCAGTCAGCTTTTATACCAACCTTCTCATCTGTCCCAGGGAGATGCATTTTTTTCTCCAGCGTTTTGACTTGGCTGATTTACATTGCAATTCTACTGCCATTTGCAGGAGTGAAATTTGCGTTTTGGACTTGGCTGATTTACATTGCAATTCTACTGCCATTTGCAGGAGTGAAATTTGCGTTTTGGACTTGGCTGATTTACATTGCAATTCTACTGCCATTTGCAGGAGTGAAATTTGCGTTTTGGACTTGGCTGATTTACATTGCAATTCTACTGCCATTTGCAGGAGTGAAATTTGCGTTTTGGACTTGGCTGATTTACATTGCAATTCTACTGCCATTTGCAGGAGTGAAATTTGCGTTTTGGACTTGGCTGATTTACATTGCAATTCTACTGCCATTTGCAGGAGTGAAATTTGCGTTTTGGACTTGGCTGATTTACATTGCAATTCTACTGCCATTTGCAGGAGTGAAATTTGCGTTTTGGACTTGGCTGATTTACATTGCAATTCTGCTGCCATTTGCAGGAGTGAAATTTCACTGTCGTGCTGAATCAATAAGAAAGATTCTTGCAGGTTCGCTAAGCCAAAACAGTGTTATAAGACGGTTCTTGTCGTTAAACTCCCTGTCGCTCTTTATCTAGGGGGACTAAGGCAAGGATGTCAGGCTCCTCTAGGCTTTTAGTGGGGTATCTATGTTAAAACTGGGGCATCGTATCTCAGGGTTATTGCATATAAGGGGCGGTGGGGTAAAGAAGTGGTTAAGGCGTTTGCTCGTCATGCCGAAGACGCGGGTTCGATTCCCAACATGGGTTCAATGTGTGAAGCCCATTTCTGGTGTCCCCCGCAATGATATTGCTGAAATATTGCTAAAAGCGGCTCAAAATCTTACTCACTTACGCCACCTCTTCTCACTCTGGACGGCGAAAATCGAACAGATGACAATCTAGGTGACAACTGGGGAAAGCATTAACCTATTTGTAGTAAATACAATGATTGTTTAATGCAGAAACTAAGGAAAGTTCAGGGGATCGATTGGCCTAATGCACATACACCATCTTTGGTACAATACAAAACACATGAGACATCTTTTTTAAGTTTCTTCAACATCCTATAATTACTTTCCTATGATTTACGTTTTGTGTAGGCGCCAATGAGCTCCTTATTGTGGATTTTGAGCGCGTTACAGTTGTTGCCATTATTTTAAATATTATCATTGTGAATCATATTGCTAATATTGACTGACACTAAATAACCGTAAACAGCATTGTAAATAAGATTCGTGAATTCAAAGTAGTAATGTACATGATTCATATACATTACTCTTTGCAACACTATGCATGTTAATGGTACAGGCAATGAAACAGAATATCTTGGATATGCACATGTGTTTCTTACGCAACATCAGTATGAAATAAAATGCATGTGAGTCAACGTAGTGACATACTGAGCGCTGATGACATGTATGTATGCATGCTGGAGACACATTATTATAAAGGTAGTTATGGGAAAATGTCTGTCATACCACACCAGCAGCAGCCAGGAATAATGTCTACCCACGTGTTCTGTGGGGAATGAGTTTGGTAATTCACTATTGTTTGTGACTTTAGAAATAGTCCCTAGCCGTGGTGAGTGTATTCCCATAGCACATTGTTGAGTGAGTGAGTATAGTTTTACGATGCATCTTTTTTTATGTAATTTAATTAATGAGTGAGTGAATTAAAATTTACAGTCACATCGGCAATATTTCAGCCATATCATGACTAAAACAAGTTTCAAATTGACCATAATACATGTAAATTATAATAACCTGTCAACTAAGGATAATAAAACCAACTAGAACATCACAGTATCAAGAATTAAAACTGGCGTCTCTCTCTAAAATTGGACAAGACAGTATAAAAACAGGCTATAGATCACCAACAACTGAAGGTAGATCACCACACTAGGAACCATGGGGACTTACAGTACCTTTGCTACCTGCAAATATAATTAATGAACAAAGAACAACGAAAATATACTACATGTAAGATGTTTGACAATTGAAAACGTGTCCCGTATTTCCCTAATACGGGTACTCGGTATATTGACACCAGGTGTTCGCGAACTGGGACAGCATGTTCTTGTCTACACGAATAAACGGCAACTACATAACATTCCCCAGACACGTCCTAACAGGTTGTAATGAGATTAAGAATACGACTAAATGTGCCAGATTCTAGGCTAAATTTAAACATATAACGTTCGAGCGTTAAAGCTTTAGATGATTCAGCGTGAAAGAGAGACATTTATTTTTCTGTATTCGAAAGGAAGCAAATCACTGCTGTAATATCGTTACCTGTACTAGAGCCTTTACTTAGAATTACAAATTTAATGAAAATACATGTAATCCTTACACATGATATCAAAATATGTAACACATTGTGATTATGCAACGTATGACTGAAAATTACGAATAAATATTCATGTGACTGTCACAGTTTAATGGATATGAATAATCATACTTATATCCCCACATTATGCACTGGTAATATGTTCGTATCGTCAGCACAGAAACCAGGTGATGCTACGGGGATTCAATATCTGAGGGAGGGAGGGACCAAATATTGCCGAGATGAATTGGAATGTGACACATGCTGTTTATCGGCCTTCTAGCCAGGAAACAAAAGTATGCATTCGGAAAATTCAAGGACAGTACTATTCTGGCAAGTAGATAAGTATAAAATATTTCTACACTGCAATAGATAAGATACAAACACGTTGATGAAAATACATCTTCTCACTTTAAATTGCACATTACAGTTCTCTCTCTTTAGTTTTTCTGCAGCAAAATACGAACTGCTATTTTATTTATTCCCAATCAAGCAAAGTATACCCATCTCGGCATGTGCCACAGAGGTGATGCGTGCAAATTGAAGAACGTCCGATGGAAAGGAAACAAAGGAGAGAGTGAGTGAGTTAAAACGTCACGCCGGCAGTATTTTAGCCATTGGAAACAAAGGAACATGAAGTCCAGGGGGACGTCACAGTTACACTTAAACAGTTTGGAATTCTTCAAACTGAACGCTGGTTTGTGCGCTGATATTCATGATCTTCATGAAGAAGCATGTGAATGCCCCCTCCCCTTAAATTTATGTAGAAAGTAAGTGCTAACCACCACCCTCTGCTTGTCATATACAAAATCAATGACACCTCCGCTAGTACATGTGTACAAACTTGAAGCCCTCCTCTAACCTCCCCAGAACAAAATGGGTCACCCCCACCCTTAAAATCAGCAGCGGCACCCAGCCATAAATTGTGAACGGCCTCTTGCGTGTAACCCGAGCTGTCGACGCCACTGCGAATTTTTGAAAAAATGGGTAAGTTGGACCTGCCAGAAATCTGTGATCAACGATTAGAGCTGCGGTTCCTGTAGATAAAGGTTCTTGCTTTTCAGCACCATATACTTCTACTCGTAGGTTTCAGTATGTAACCGTATATAGACTGCCTTACAACGGAACTGGCCGTGCCATGGTACGGCAAGGTGGCCTAGCACTAAACACCGGCATATGTATGGGCCACCACCCACGCGCGCACGCACGCAAGCTAGCACGCATGTCACTGAAAACGCAGAAATATTTAACGCAACTTTAAACCCCATTTCACCTCAGCTCACATGCATGAACATGATTATACTTATCCTGTGAAGATTCAAATTTGAGTAGCAATCATTTTCCATTTCACTGACTTAAACAGACTATAGGTTCGACAGACATGCATTTGCAGGTTGTCTGTTTACTATTGCAGAAGGGCAATACTCTCCAGAAACTGAATTTGCATTTCTGTTTTGATGGATTTTTGTTTATTTTTCATAAGAATGTAATGTATATTACGCGTCTAAGCTGTGGACTTAATTTACTATGTTTAGTTGGTGCAACCCTTACGGCAGGGATTTTAGGAACGTTTCAAACATATTCTTTCCACGCCAAGACCAGGGCCCCGTTCCTCAAAGCGACCGTAGCGCTACGACTGTCGTAAGTCAATGTTAAAGTATGGGAGATACGATCGACTTAGGGTTACACTCGCTTTGAGGAACGAGGCCCAGATGCTGCAAGTGATTGAGTTAGTGAGCAAGTGAACGTTGCTTCACGTCGAATCATCAATTTAGCACCTTTTTCGCGGCAGGTTCAATGAGAGAAGGTTTTAAACACATGTTCAACAAGTTTTGCTGACTGTCTAATACATCATGTCAGAATATCTTAATCATGACAGCAGGACTGGATACAGTTGTACAAAAACAACCCTAACGCTTGTCGTAGGTCCATGTTGACGTATGAGAGTTAGGATCATCTTTGACGGAAAGTCGCTTTTAACGATGGCATCTTGAATGGTTGGCTTTTCCAGAGTGAGTGAGTGAGTGAGTAAAGTTTCACGCCGCTTTTAGCAATATTCCAGCAATATCATGGTGTGGGACACCACAAATGGGCTTCACACGTTGTGCCCATATGGGGAATCGAACCCGGGTCTTCGGCGTGACGAGCGAACGCCTTAACCATCTGCTACCCATCCACCCCGGCTTTTTCAAGAAGAGGGTACGTAAGTCCCACAACTTTCAAAGTCAATTTCGACCTACAAAAATATGTTAATCGTAGAATAATTGTTGATTTAAATAATGGCTAAAGTTCCCTACAATCACCAGTGGCTGAAGGGATGGTGTAAATCCAGCTAGGGTCCATGCAGGTAGCCAAAGTACTGTAAGTCCCCATGGTCCCTAGCATGGTGATCAGCCTTCAGTTGCTGGCGATATATAGCCCATTTTTACATTGTATTGTCCAAAAATAGTTTTCTACTTTTAAAGATATATGCTAGCTAGTTTTAACTCATTTTGTGATAATCTAGTAATTTTACTGTCCGTCGTTGACAGGGTTTTTATATATATGTATGTATGTATTATGAATTTAGAACTAGTTTTAGTCACGATATGGCTGAAATATTGCCAATGTGACTTTAAATTTTAACTCACTCACTCACTCACTTTTTCAAGAAGTTACCGAAATAGTTATGTTCAGGGTAATACCACTGCAATGAACAAAATATTCACGATTTTTTAAAATGTCTGTACAGTGTTTGCAAACATGTGTGCGCGTTCACTCAAAAGGTTAGTTGACAAAAAATTGATATATGATAGTATTAGTTTCCGAAAGAAAATGTGTTATACGCAGGAGTGAATGAGTTGGATTTGAAATGGGCCTCACACATTGTACCCTAATTCGGAATCGAACTCGGGCCGTGACGAGCGAACGCTCTAACCATCAGGCTACACCATCTCCCGTACTGAAGTACAGCGAGTATTGCTTATTACGTCTCTAGTGTGACACGAGCGGAACAGTTTCGAATCGCGAAACTCCATGTGTCTAGAGCAGAGTATACAGTATACTGATTTTGCAAGAATGACATGATACCGTATAGGAAAACAAACGTTTATTGGATAAAGATGTGAATCACTGACAAATATGTCATCACAAGTACTGACATAGCAACAGATTGTGTGCATACAAATATACCCTGAAAATAGATCAACCATGAAAGATGATCACAGAAGAACACATGAGATGAGATGTTTGGTTTGTTCAGACATTGTTCAGACATTCCATTGGTGTACCTAATGTATTACACCTTGGTGAGGATCTTGTAAGATTCATAGGAGATACTAAAGATTAGCCAATAGATACCAAAATTAAAAGACATCCGATTTTCTTCATATGACTATATTTAACCCGACGTGACCTGCAATATATACTACTCAAAACAAGTAAAAGAATAACCGAATTTTCGTATGTTCAAATTAATCTAATGTCCTTTGTATAGAAATCTAGCAAAATGTATCATCCAAAATGTATGTTTGTACCATATTAGTATAGTCTTCTACGACCTTCATAAGTATTTTAACTACAATGGACAGATAAGTGGATAAAGTGGATACCTTGCAATAAAAACGAGGAGAATAAACATAAATCAGAGTGGGGTTACGTGTCTCAAGGAAATAGATGACGGACACCGCGTATATCAGCACCCCAGCGACATCAGGCATGGGGGCGGGGACACGAGGAATGAAACAAGCGAACGATTATAACCATTATTCTACGGCACCTCCTCCTGCTTCTCATGGCAGTGCAAGTGTTGATAAAGATGGACCTAAACCTTCACGATCATCTTCCCTTGGCTAGCTCCTGTGAACAGGGACGCGAATGCCTTTGGCATGTTGTCAAACCCTTTATGGATCGTCTCCTTGTACTTGAGTTTTCCCTGCAACACAAGAATGCATCTCGGTCAAAATACAAAAAGGCTGATGTGAGAAATATATTAACTTCGTTGCCTAAATGTAGTATTGCGGAAACATGACTGCAAGACTGATTCTGTCAGTGTGCTAGCCAAGTGCTGAAAGATGAGGGAAGAGGTTGGCAATTTAAAAACTGAAGAGAAACATTACTCGTTATCAGTGTGCTGACGGACTTTTGGAAAGGCCATTGCAACTTAAACAATGAAAACATCGTGGTCCATGATTGTTCTGCATAAGAATGTGGTCCATGACTGCTTTATATAACAAAGTGGTCCATGACTGCTTCATATAACAATGTGGTCCATGACTGCTTTGTATAACAAAGTGGTCCATGACTGCTTCATATAACAATGTGGTCCATGAATGCTTTGTATAACAATGTGGTCCATGAATGCTATGTGTATAACAATGTGGTCCATGAGTGCTATGTGTAACAATGTGGTCCATGAGTGTTATGTGTAACAATGTAGTCCATGACTGCTTTATATAACAATGTGGTCCATGACTGCTTTCTATAACAATGTGGTCCATGAGTGCTATGTGTAACAATGTGGTCCATGGCTGCTTTATATAACAATGTGGTCCATGACTGCTTTCTATAACAATGTGGTCCATGACTGTTTTCTATAACAATGTGGTCCATGACTGCTTCATATAACAATGTGGTCCATGACTGCTTTAGGTAACAATGTGGTCCATGACTGCTTTCTATAACAATGTGGTCCATGACTGCTTTCTGTAACAATGTGGTCCATGACTGCTTCATATAACAATGTGGTCCATGACTTTATGTACCAATGGTACCAGTTCAAGAACATACTCACCTCATTTACCCATTTGAGCAGCTCTGCTCTACTCGCTTCAAATTTGGAGTTCCAGTCGAAGATAACGAATCCCTGTACTTTTAGCCTCTTTACGAGAACGGTAAAGAATGGTGACGGCACTGCAAAACATAACAGTAAGTTAGTCAGAACTACATACTGAGAGTAAACATACACATGTTTACATTTAGTGTTTATGTCTTTTACGGGTCAAATTACAATTCTGTGAATTGAAAGACACAAATATATGCAGTGTTTGTTAATGGGAATTAATACATGTTGTATGCGATGTTAGACAAAATCAAAACTTGTATTGTTTGCGGAAACATGGTTTGGCCACAACCCAATGCCAAAACTGATGCCACAACCCGATTATTGTCTGGGTTTTGTTTTTGGTTTTTAAGGACAGGATAAAGTCTATGGAAATAAAACGTAGCCGTCTCTTGAAAAATACGTATCTTTTGGGGATTAGCCATAGTGAGTGAGTGAGTGAGTTAAGTTTTACGCCACTTTTACGACGGGGGACACCAAAAATAGGCTTCAAATATTGTTCCCATGTAGGGAATCGAACCCGGGTCCTCGGCGTGACGAGCGAATGCTTTAACCACTAGGCTAGCCACCGCTCCCGGGGTGATTCATAAACGTTATATGTCTAAAGTACTCTGGGAAACGTACTCATGGGCTGTTCCTTGTCGGTGGTGTAGGTGGACATGGCGCCACACACGCACATCCGCCCATAGTTGTTCATGTGCTGGAGCACGTTGTAGGAGGCCTCACCACCGACCTGGAAACATATGACAATCATCATCATCATCATCATCGTCGTCGTCGACGTCGTTGTCATACTGTTACTTTCCTATGGGGAATCTGGTTAAGAATACAGATCACCATCACCATATCCCTGTTTGGTATGAGGTGACTAAACAGATCAGGTGGTCAGACTCACTGGTCTCTTGTGCTTCCGATTAGGATAATGCTCATATAATCCATCACTGGCTTGTCTGAACCAGATCAGCATTTACAAAATGGCATAATATAACTGGCGCTATGTCAGGTTAATTACAACTAATCAAAATCATTAACGCTTTAAAATTTAAATATTATTTTTTTACATACGTTGTCATAGAAACAGTCGATTCCCTTTGGTGCGCAAGCCTTGAGAGCATCGTCCAGTTTTGTTTCCTTATAGTTGAACACCTGATCGAATCCAAGACTCTTTAACCAGTCACACTTCTGCTTGGTTCCGGCAGACCCAATCACCGTGCAGCCCTGCGAACAATTTGTTTGTCAGAGATTCAAAACATATTTATTCAAGATCTATATATTACTCAGACAGGAGGAATCACTTGGTCACAAAAATTCGAATTGGTCTCCAGCAACCCATACTGGTTTGAGGCGACTAACGGGATCGGGTGGTCAGGCTCGCTGACTTGGTTGACACATGACATCGTATCCCAGTTGCGTAGATCGATGCTCATGCACCTGATCACTAGATTGTCTGGTCCAGACTCGATTATTTACAGACCCCCGCCATATAGCTGGAATATTGCTGAGTGCGGCGTAAAACTAAACTCACTCACTCACTCACCAATTGCGTAGATCGATGCTCATGCTGCTGATCACTGGATTGTCTGATCCAGACTCGATTATTTACAGACCCCCGCCATATAGCTGGAATATTGTTGAGTGCGGCGTAAAACTGAATTCACTCACTCACTCACTCACTCACTCGCCAATTGCGGAGATCGATGCGCATGCTGCTGATCACTGCATTGTCTGGTCCAGACTCGATTATTTACAGACCCCCGCCATATAGCTGGAATATTGCTGAGTGCGGCGTTAAACAACAATCAATCAATCAATCAATCTGAGTCAGTGCTAGGATTGTGTTTCTCCAGCCTACCTTGATCTTGGCGATCTGTCCAACCACACTGCCCACTGCACCTGCCGCTCCATTAACAAAAACGACATCCCCAGCTTTGGGTTGACACACGTCCAGAAAACCTAGATACGCCGTCACTCTGAAACAATAGCAGAACAATCTCATTAATATCAGATCTTGTCGCACACACTCTGTACCATATTATTGGTAGTTCAAAATGAAGTCAGTCACCAATCCCACTGGGCACTTTTTCAGTATTTTCAGAGACAGTGCGTTAGTCTACCAAGAGGATAACTCTCCGTGTGAAGATCTGAGGATAGTTCCATAGGAGGTTTCCTTCTGAATGAACGAGGTATTCTACAAGCCTATCTTATTATTGAACCTGTTAAACGAATATAATCGGCGAAGTACGAATGCAAAATACCTGCGCTTTTTCTTGTTGCTGACATGTTATATATATGTCGTTTCTGAGCACCATAGCGTCCACACCAAAAGGAGTCTTCTATACGAATTCTTTGCACAGACATAAACATCCGAATCGAGGTAGTAAATCAAATCGTTGTAGAAACATAACAAGAAACCAGTAATCCTATAAAAAAAGACTCACCAATAATGTTGTTTTCCCTAAAATAAATATGTACATTTACTTATCGCTCTTACCCTGTCATTCCCAAGACTCCAAGAGCAATGGATGGGTCTTTGCCACCGAGGTCGGGAACTTTATGTATCTTGAGTGCATCGGGGTTCTCTTTGGGGTTAACCAACGCCCTGCTCCTCCATCCAAAGTAACCCTGGACTACCGACCCAACAGGGTACTCGGGGTTCTTGCTCTCCGTTACCCTGGATGTCGAGACAGCAATGGCTTACACAGTCTTACACAGAATATAATTGGTAAAAGATTTCAGAAACGCAACTTGTAACCCCCGCTTCCCAGCACAAAACAACTTTCCATTTACCAGTTACACAAACCAGTTTTAAAATTCAGTTCCATAAATCGGTTACACAAACCAGTTGAATAACCAGTTATGTAAACCAGTTACATCAACCAGTGAAGTTGACCAGTCAAACATTTTAGTCGTTGTGAGTGTCAGTGCATCTCTATTAAAACTACATTCATTCACTAATGTTAGATACATATAGCTTCGTTTGTAGATTCGAAAGACACCGCAATAATCCATCCAACCAAATTGAGCTGATGTTCGAGGTAAATTTCATGTGAAGTAATAGACATAGGAGATACAAGTGCAACAAAATAAAAAAACCTAAGGCAGAGATCATACAAGGTACACCTCGGTACATAGAACAATATTTAGATATATTTATATAAATAATGTTGTGGTTGGTGTTGTAGTTAAACCTCTGTTTGTTTTCGTGTTTTGTTTAAATGTTGTGTTTAATGCTGTCCTACCTTGCGACCTGTTCTCCCATCAGCACTTTACCAATACTCGACCCAGCCATGACGGTTCTGGACAAAACAGAGAAAATTAATGTCATGAACATTCAAATAAGAGCAAGCTGTTATTGAATTACAACGTGTACTACAAAATAACATTAGGAGAGGGAAAAGAGTGTGTGAGTTAGTTAGTTAAAATTTAACGTCACATCGGCAATATTCAGCAATACCGTGACGAGTCAGATTTATACCTACATAGCTAACATCTTTTTAAAGTGTATGAAAACATGCGGTCAAAGAAAAGCGAAATAACTATAGTATCACATATTTGTTAAAACTAGTTCAACATTTAAAATAATAAACTTTGAATTAACGACCCATGGTGAATAGGGGCATCAGATTACTACCAGCCACAGTTAGCCCACCATACTAGGGACCGTGGGGACTTACGAGAGACAAGATAGTGATTTGGGTTTAGTGACGTCTTCAACAGTATTTCATGCACATGACGCCGTGGGAGGAAAACCCGAGGTAATGTTGGTCTTTGACGTTTACCGCTGTGGTGAAATCCATCACTTATGGTGCAGGCAAACCTTGAAATGTAATCGGAGCGAACTGGGATTCGAACCCACGATAATAGGTTTCTGCCCCACGCGGAGATTAAACTCTTGTTGTTGATTGTGCATGTGATTTACTTGACCTGATGTATATACCTAATCAGTGTTGATTGTGCATGTGATTCACTTGACCTGATGTATATACCTAATCAGTGTTGATTGTGCATGTGATTCACTTGACCTGATGTATATACCTAATCAGTGTTGATTGTGCATGTGATTTACTTGACCTGATGTATATATTACCTAATCAGTGTTGTAAGATGGTTATGGCAGGTAATCATGTTACAGCTTTTTCGCAAATGAATGATATCTACCACTTGCTTCCTCGCAATAACATTCATCATGCAAAAGCAAAACGTGAACCTAATACTCGAATACTTATGCATTTCTTCAAAGTTAATAAACATTGTCCAATATAGACGTGTATGTGGCTTAAACATTGTCATACACCTGCATTTGACATAGGCATTGTTAAATATACACACGCATGTGGCATAGAATGTTTCAAATATAAACATTCATGTGTAATATGAGTTCTGACAACTTGAGGGGCGGTGGGGTAGCCTAATGGTTAAAGCGTTGGCTCGTCACGCCAAAGACCCGGGTTCGAATCCCCACATGGGCACAATGAGTGAAGCCCATTTCTGGTGTCCCCCGCCGTGATATTGCTGGAATATTGCTAAAAGCGGCGTTAAACCAACTCACTCACTCTGACAACTTGACAGAGACATACAGACGTATATAAAAACGAAAGTAAACAACATACCTCATGTATGGATCAACAGTCAGACATATCGCCTCACACACGAACTCTGAAACACAAATTGGTGAATGTTCGTGGTTGTGCATAACATGGGGGCAGTCGGGTATGTAGAAAGATAGTAATGAATGTTGGAATAAACCATATAGCAAAAATAATGTTATGGTCTTTGATTTTATGGATGAACTGATAAACAAGTGTGAGATGTTTAAGTGATATGTTCACAGCAGTGAAAGAAGTGATCTGTTAAGTGTAGTGACAGAAAAGTGATTTGTTTACGGTTGTGACAGAAAAGTGATTTGTTTACTGTAGTGACAGAAAAGTGATTTGTTTACTGTAGTGACAGAAAAGTGACTTGTTTACTGCAGTGAAAGAAAAGTGATTTGTTTACTGTAGTGACAGAAAAGTGATTTGTTTACTGTAGTGAAAGAAAAGTGATTTTTTCACAGCAGTGAAAGAAAAGTGTTTTCTAAGTGTAGTGACAGAGAAGTGATCTGTTTACTGTAGTGACAGAAAAGTGATTTGTTTACTGTAGTGACAGAAAAATGGTTTGTTTACTGTTGTGATAGAAAAGTGATTTGTTTACTGTTGTGACAGAAAAGTGATTTGTTTACTGCAGTGACAGAAAGTGATTTGTTTACTGTTGTGCATATATCCATTTACGTCAACTGTCAAATATCTTGTTCAACCACATAATCAAAAGAAATGTCAATATCTGCATTTCGATAAACCCTGCTGAACCCTCAAAACATATGGTGGGATGCACAGTCTGCCGCTACTTAGTCAGTGGAACTAAGAAGCTTGCCCCCAGGAGTCATTAACACAGTTGCCCATGTGTGCAGCATCTCACGCGGAAGAGACCGTGATTCGGAAGCTAAGGCAGGATAGTAATTAGAGCATCATTTTTATGCGTTTCACGTAGCCACCAAATTCTGAACATGAGATGGTCGGTCGGGGAATAAACAAGAAAAACTATAAAAAATTATGAAGACAAATTTATCTGAATAATGTTCTTGATTCTCATTTATTGTAATTCTTATTACAATTTCTCGCGTTATTTGGACTTGTGGCAGCGACTGATTAAAGATAAACATTATATAAAACGAGGTGCTACGTTTTACGTTCGACTCGGCGGCGTTGCAGATTTTTTGGGGGGTCGGCAATAAAATTAGAAGGGTCGGTCGGGCGATGAGAAACAGAGAATATAAAATATTGCTCTTACTCTGAAACACCGGACTCACATACGTATAAACTGTCAAGGCCATTCGCCATCTGGACTGAAGTTGAAACTAACTTAGCTTCAGATTTAATATCATTACGCACGTCACAACACCACCCTCCCGATAATCTCATCATGCCCGTCTGTCTTTTATAAGGGGATCGGTTTTATATAGAACCACGATAGTTAATATCCGAGTATTTGACCACCATTACAAACAGCCACGGTTGGAAAGAATACGATAAAAAAAATCAGTGTCAGTAAGTTTCCTCTAAGCGACACGTATGTTTGGCGTGGCTGGAGCGCCGACCAATCAGAGCGCTCGACGTCATCCATGACGACTGTTGTTTACTAACTACAGACGGCCACGATTTAGCCAGTACGATAAACACATCCGATGTAGGAAATAAATTGCAGGATATGACGACCTTGGCATGCACAGTGCATGGGGAGTTATCGTGATCATGACAATGTATATATTCCTGTTTAATTTAAACGATAAAGCAGATTTGAACTACTACCAAAGTGAGTGACCTTGTCTATTTATAAATACAAAGGGCAGGTATTTCCGTAACGTCACTGCCCAGCTTCGAGGCCAGGCACTAACATTTCTGTCTGGACAGTGGAAGTACCTGACTTGTCGTGGATGATTAACCATGCAACACCTATTAATTTGCGTTATTTGCATTTTAACAGCTAAGTATATTAGAGCGATCGCGTATGCCAGTTTCGTTCACTCTTGTTCCCTAACCCATAACCCAGCAGGCACATCAACGTTGTTTCAACGTTGAGAATAGGTTGATCCTCAACGTTGAAAATAGATTGAAAATAGGTTGTATATGAAAGTTTTTTTGACGTAGATATCCGACGTGGAATCAACGTTGAAGTTTGACCGATTATCAACGTTGAAAAAAGGTTGATCCTCAACGTTGAAAATAGGTTGTATATGAAAGTTTTTTTGACGTAGATATCCGACGTGGAATCAACGTTGAAGTTTGACCGATTATCAACGTTGAAAAAAGGTTGATCCTCAACGTTGAAAATAGGTTGTATATGAAAGTTTTTTTGACGTAGATATCCGACGTGGAATCAACGTTGAAGTTTGACCGATTATCAACGTTGAGAATAGGTTGATCCTCAACGTTGAAAATAGATTGAAAATAGGTTGTATATGAAAGTTTTTTTGACGTAGATATCCGACGTGGAATCAATGTTGAAGTCTGACATATTATTAACGTTGAAAATGGGTTGTTCCGTGGTTGTGTCTGGGAGGTATTACGCTTTCCTGTAAATAGACTCGCATTTCATCTTTAAACTACAATAAAGTAGCACCAAACTCCTGCATCCAGCTAAAATACCCAAAAGCTATCTGCAATAAACAGTGTTCAAACAGAAAATTGCAGTAAAATATTTACCTGATAAAATACTTGGTTAAAATTCCACATTCAATATAATGTTCATTTAAGTTTTATGTCAGTTGGACGTATAATTCCAGTAAGAAGAAAAGAGTATTCCAAATTAAGAAAAACTATTTACTGTTGTATTGTTACCTTGAAAAGGTGAAAATTGTCGAAGACATTTTGTCTGAATTTCAGCTCTTAGACAGACCCTGAATAAACACAATGCAATTACTTTCACCATGAAAGGGATCCAAGATGACCAGGAACTATACCTGAAGACAGCACATAAAACAAGTCACTTTTCATGAAATCTTTATGAACACACACGCACACAGAAAACGTGGTTTAATGCATAATGTAAAACATCACACATGACATAGTCTGTAGGTGATCTCTGTTGTGCTAATAACACAATATCATCTGCATATAGCATCAAAGTGACATTTACGCCACCAATTTCAATACCACAGTTCAGATTTTTCAACACAATTTCCCAAAACACAATTATCAGCTCCTCTTCTTTCTGCCACTCCCTGCCTGGCGGTCAGGTGGATACTTCAGAAACGTTCCTAACTCTTTCTTGAAATTTGCTTCGGATGCATTCCCATCTCATTCCCTTGAGATAGGACACATTCTGAAATGTTATATTTAAATACATGAATAAGTTATATGGAAGATATATTGTCTTAAATGATTCAAGTATTTGTTTAATCAATCACTTGAAAGGTTCATTTCACTGCTGTAACTTGGCATGTGAACATATGAACAGCATCAATACAAAATATGACGAAAAGTGTAAACAATTTATATTTTCAACCGAAGGAATGGAAGTTTTCTTAAACGTTTTCAAAGAAAATCCTCAATTGCAAGTTGATTATTTAATTAGACTATGAATTACTGGTAGGATGAATTAGACGATGCTTTACTGTCATATATTATTTGCTATGGTCATGATGAAAATGCTGCACTTAACTTACCAGAGATGATTGAATACAACCTTGTACTCTTAAAAGAAAACTTGCCGTTTTGCCCATCAACATTCATTCTTGACATCAAATTGTTTGACATCGTCCTGCAAAATAATGGAAGATTGTTGTTATTCTGTCAGATTTAGTTTTCTTTAGAGATTCTCGGAAATGATTATTTCAAATTAATAGGAGTTGAACTGATGTAGCAATTTTGCTACCAGGAGTCATAAATTGTAACAAAAGCCATTTTACATTAAATGATAAGAAAACAAAATGGGTGGTGGTTCACAGGTCAAAGAACAAGTCTATTGTGGGAGGTCTCCCAACACCATTTGTTCCCAAACACAAGGAAGTATGGATCATGGAGTTCTGAAAACAATAATGAGCTCTCATAAGTATACAATATATTCTCTATTATCTACTCTCTCTCTCTCTCTCTTTGTCATTTGTACACTCATAAAACTCAGATAAATAACTTTTTATAATTCATAAATGTTTACACTTAATCTCTTATAGGAACGCTTAGAAAATCTCTCATATAATGAATTATGTGTGCGTATTATCTGCGACGTCATAACTATGCTTCTCTGAATCATCAACAATACAATAATGAGATTAAACTCTACATTGCCAGAAATAATCTATCATACCATGAATAATAAGACATTGAATAACATCTCTTACAACTCCAATCTACACTCAAAAAGACTTAAATGTACTCGTAAACAAACATCGCTGGCTAACGCAAATTCTTGGAAACAGTGCATCGCTGACTCTCAATTCCAAGAAATGGAAGTCCTACTCTATTTGACCAAAGGGGTGACAGGTGGCCAAAACATATTGAAATGTAGGTCATACACTGAAAATAACTCTGATTTAAAACACTACAAATATACACCTTCTCTCTAATATACTCGATAGATGATCTTAACAAGGGAAAATGTACATAAAATGCTGATATCTAACAACACCTGTACTTTAAATAATGCACTCTTCCAAATCTCAGTATGTTTCACTGCACACATATTAGATTGCAAATAATGAAAAACCTACCCTTTGACAATAATAAAAAACATCATATTCAAATTCTACAGCTGACTAAATACCTGAAGAGTGTGTTTCCCAGCAATAAACATCTCTAATATCTATAAATGTATGACTTCTGTCCTCTCGCGTGCTATCTTGCATCCAGCTGTTTACGGCGAAAAACAATATGGCGCCAAGCAAGGGAGTGCTCATTAAGCTAAACATCTCCGGGAGAAATCATTGTCATTTTTTTCTCTTAAATGATCAACCTTAATATATAAATGAAAATAAAGACCAACTATTATCACCACAAAGACCAAACATTATCACAAATATTCAAAACAGGTGGTAATGAAAGAGCATTATCATCTTTCTCTTAAACTTTGTGGTGGATATACTGGAAACAAGTGAAATGTTAAAACGTGTTACCTTAGCCTTGCTCCTTTTATGTGATCCACAAAATTGCTGCCACCCAGTCTTCGGAGATGAGATTTCTGCAAATTCCATTAAAATAATCTTATTTCATAATTAAATGTTCCTTACATTAAAATTACTTCTTTTGTATGTAAGATTTTAACCTTTAAGAGACATGAATTATCATATCCCTTCCAAACAAGTGTAAGAATGAAAGTCTGTGGGTGCAGTTTTGTTAATTGTCCCATCAAAGAATCATTAGTGAAGTTACACTTTTTGTAAATAAATAAAAGTTCAAATAAATTATATACAATTTCATCCTTAACAAAGACTTTCACAAGACATTTTAAAATGAAAATTTTCGTTGCATTTCCTTACGCCATTCTCCGACACCCCCTCCACCCCCAATAATATACATATGTTGATAGGGTTCAGGGCGTGCTCAATGCATCAGTTACTGATAGATCTATTCAAACGAACAAATGTTCATAATAATGGGATGCAATATAAAATGTTGATTAATCCTATCCGATTTTGTATAGCTGCCCTTAGGGACCGTTCATAATGTATGGCTTTGGGGTGATGTTGATTTTTACGTACAATGTGAATTACAACACACACACACACACACACACACACACACACACACACACCAAAAAAGTGTATGAGTCATGTACATTATCTATGACGCCCTCTCCCCTTCCCATAATTTCTAAACATAGTGCGTGTGTACAAAAATGCTGATCCCTCAGCTCCCCTGAACAAAATGGGTGACACCCCACCCCACCCTCCAACCCTTACAATCAACACCCCCACCCGCAGCCATATATTTAATTATGAACGGTTCCTTATATTGATGTACTTCATTGATTATTTGAAAATGTATGTTTGCAAAATTCAAATCAGGTGATGGGTACGAAAGGAAATCTTATTCGATTATATAATAAAATGCCAAATATATGCATGCAAATATATTGAAAAATAACAAAACAAAATTTTGAGAAACATGTACTGTGACATACCGGTAACCTTGTGAGATAAAACATGAGCCCTAATTCGGAGTTTCTTGCTACTGCTAGATTTAAACGGCATTCCTACGTTTTCATTATACATGAAGGACATACTTACCAAATAAACACCAGCTTGCCGTGAAGATGGTGAAAATAGAACGATATTGCGTTGAACTTCGCCAAAGTCAACTGACAACGATCAGCTGCCTTTGCGTGCGCGATAATTGTGCGCATGTCCGGATATGGCCAAACGAGCGATCGAAAGGTCAACATCTGGCTGGTGTTTGAAAGCAAATTGTCGGGAATTATACAATTTTCACAGTTTTGTGGGAAAATATCAAATGTAATGCAATTTGGATAACTGATGACTTTATACCTAAAACTGCGATTTACGTAATATTTCCGTCCGTTGATCGATGCACAATCAAATAATATATAAGATTATATCTGTCACTAGCTCGATCTTGATCATTTATGAAAATAATGTTCCGAAAGGATAGTTGCTAAGTTGGATACCTATTACCAATATGAATTATGTGTCAAATTTGCCAAGGAAACAATTAGTTGACATTTTGTTGGTTCCTTACGTTGAAACAACGTTGACAACTAAACGAATCTCGACTAACTTTCTTTGGTCGCATGATAAACGTTGGATCAACGTCTATGAAAGGTTGATCAACCAAACAACCAAAATTCAACGTTGATTCAACGTTGATTCAACGTTGTGTGCCCGCTGGGAATGTTTCAATATGCTGGCAGGTTACAATAAATTGAAGTACTCCTCTGCGAGTTATATAATCTTTATGTAACCCTGGACGCGTGGTATTGTTTTGTTTTTAAACGACCCTGTGCAATCCAGTAAGAATTAATGATTGAATAAGTTTTCTTCATAACTAAAATACACAATCATCTTACTTATATAATTTCCCGGACCTCTCATAATTAGTTATCAAGACTGTACAGTGGGGCTTATTATTATTATTATTATTATTATTATGATGATGATGAGAAGTAAAAAGAATACTAGAATATACAGTGCAGTTCTAATGGGAGGGACTATAATCAGAGACTTTATTGTATAATGTGAGCTTGCATAGTACCACGGCACATGAGAGAATTAGAGTTTGCTTACATGCATGAATGAGTTGTATGGGCGCTTACTAACTGGGTCAACCCTGAGGTCATACATATTTGCATAGAAGAATTTACACCTGTCCCGGTATATTCGAATGATGACCAGCGGAAAGTTGCGTCACTTAGCTGTGTCAGGATCTGCTGTCTTGGGTTCGAATTCGATATTTTTACGTGATAATAATCATTGGTATGACATCACTAAAGCTACGCTCGTATGCAACCGAACCGCTCAGCGAACCTTCATTTCGGAGTTCTCTCAACATAACATGTATTTAAAACTGTTCAAACAAATACAAGCAGTTGACTCATTTATATCTACCTAATAAGAAGTAAAGGTAGATTTTCACTACATCTGCGTTCCACGACGAGGCTAAGTCTAAAGTCTTGAGTGCATCTGCATTAAGCATATAATGAAGGACATATAGTGTATAGTGCATTGAGCTGAGTCGTAACACGCCCTACCTCCTTGTTTTGGAGCCGACACTTGCTCGTCGATCTGACGGAAATTAGCCTCCGTGGGATTCCCCTCGAACTCCTTCGCCAACACCCAGGACTTGCCCATGATTATGACCGTGTATTTATCCGGAGTAGAACTGTTCTGCTGTTGTAGACTGTGGTATCTCTCGATGTGGGAAGTTTGCACGTCCGGGGCTTTTATACACACCATACGACATGAGTCAGCGAAATGCACAGAAGCAACGCAATGTGCGATGTGCCTGTCATTGTTTGCCTATCATAGTGTTGATGTCGACGTCGATGTAATTTATTTCACGTCATGCTGACTGATCGGTTTATAATGCCAATCTGTGCCATCGGGCATTGACTCCTAAAAGGGGAATTTTTTTGAAGTTTATCTCAAACTGAAAAACACCAATAAAAAAGTTGCTGGTCATGCAGGAATTCCTGCAGACAATGTTATTGTACTGGAGCTGTGACCTGAACAGAGGTAAGGTCAACACGCTTGACCAGCAATTTACACAAAAACACCCCCAAATCTGAGTTTACATCTATTAGAATATGATATGTTATTACTATATGAGCGTCCATGCTATATGTCTGTGTGTGCGCGTGTGCGTGAGAATTATGTGCATATACAATTTGCTTGTGTTTGTTCATATATATGTTTACTTATTTGTGCTAGGCTATTGCTGTTTCGGGGCGGTGGGGTAGCCTAGTGGTTAAAGCGTTCGCCCGTCACGCCGAAGACCCGGGTTCGATTTCCCACATGGGTACAATGTGTGAAGTCCATTTCTGGTGTCCGTCGTATTATTGCTAGAATATTGCTAAAAGCGGCGTAAAACCATACTCACTCGCTCACTCACTCGATTTAGAAACAGAGTATCATGTCCATTTCTTCCTTAATAACAAAGATCTGGCCAAGATGTGCTCTTCATGATCAGTAAGCCCTGCTTTTCGTAAAACCGACTAAACTAAACTCAACTCACTCACTCACTAATGCTGTTCCGGTGTGAAACACCACCATTCATTCATAGCATGTGGTTTGTTTAGAGGGCCCTGATCCAGGATGAATCATTAAATATTTATTGGGGGCGGAATGTTGCTTTTGTTTTGACTTGTTCCCTTTGAAACCTGGATGATATTGCGGAGATGCGTGGTCAATAAGCGCACGCCTGGCCTTTATTGATTGCATAAGATTTGGTTTGGTTTGGTTCTTGTTAACTCCAGTACCAGCAATATTCCAGTGGTCTGTAAATAGTCGAGTCTGGACCAGACAATCCAGGGATCAATAGCATGAGCATCGATCTACGCAACTGGGATACGATGACATGTGTCAGCCAAGTCAGCGAGCCTGACCACACGATCCCGTTAGTCGATAAGCATGGGTTATTGAAGACCAATTCTAAGAGTGCATGGTAACTTTGATCTATAGATTAATAAGGAAATGTAGACGTCTTTCAGAATCGCATAGGTAATATGGTGATTACTGACTTTGTATTCTGCCATTTTCCTTTAAACTATTTTGACTTGAAACATAAACTATTCATTTCACTGGGGCGCCTTCTATCATAGTTTATGCATGTTATAGTCAACATCTATAATGGCTGACACTTGTACAAAACCTCAAAATATACTAAACATCATTGAAAACGCACCAGTCTAAAATTGTCCATATTTTCATCAAGATGGATTTCAGCATGACAATGATCAATGAATATAACTAGCATGAAGTCGAAGGGCATGTCCAGTTGAAAAAAATACTTTAGAAACAGATTCCTGTCCACAGCATGACTCTTAATTCCAAAATGCATCAACATGCAGCCACGCCATGAAAAAAGCGCGGTTTTCATTTTGAAATCATACTGACTGTGACATTAAAAGCGGGTTTATGAGAACCGATTCTCATTGCTTCACTAACGATTGTGAAACGAGGACAGAGATGCCAAGGTTAACACCTCACGAAAGAGAACGTGCACTAGGCATGATTCACCTCACGAAAGAGGTTGGCACCAGCAGCAGGGATATTGCTCGACAACTTGGACTTGGCCACTCCACCATCGTTAGGCTTCATAGACGACATAAGTAGACAGGCAGCACCCGTGACCTTCAATGACCTTGGCAACAACGTGTTACGACGCTCCATCAGGATCGCCATATTGACCTTGTCCATATCAGTGATTGAACACTGTCGACTGCCAGGACTGCTGCACTAGTTCAAGGTTGACGTGGGGCTCATCAGCGCTGACACCATGCGACGCCGTCTACACGCTACAGGGCTCCAGGCTCGACGTCCTTACGTTCGACCAATTCTGACTGACAGACACCGTAATGAGCGTATACAATGGGCTAGCAGGCATTTTCAGTAAAGGTTACAACAATGGCATGGTGTGGTAGTCACTGACGAGTCACGTCTTTATCTACGTAATGCTGACGGCCGATTACGTGTTTGGCGTAGACGTGGTGAACGTTATGCTGATGAGTGTGTGGTTCTGTGACAGACCTTTGGGAGGTGGGAGTGTCATGGTCTGGGGTGGAATAAATTACAATCACAGGACTGCCTTCATGTCTTTCAAGGGAGAGTTAATGCCCTTTATTACCGTGAGCAGATTCTTCAGAATCACATCGTATCTGTCTTCAATCACCACCAAGATGTCCATACTTTTTAACAGGACAACGCACGGGCACACACAACAAGACTTTCCATGCAGTATCTGGCCCAGCAACACATCCAGGTTATTCATTGGCCAGCACAGTCGCCATGTATCCCCCATGGAGCACTTGTGGGACGAAATTGGTCAAAGTCTTTCGCGGCGACAACAGATGCGAAACATCCGGGAACTTGAGTCTGCACTACTGCAGAAGTGGAATGCCATCCTCAAGAACTCTATTCGGACGCTTATTGACTCAATGAGGAGACGTTGAACTGCATGTGTCAATGCAAATGGCGGTCACCCGCGATAATGACTTTTCGATTTGACCCCACGTGTGTTTGATCCTTTCTGACTGTGGAACATTTCAATGAATGAGCGTCTTCACTGTGTTGTTGTTTTTGTTAGTCGTTCATCTGTTATTTTCCACTCAAAAAATATCAATTCCTTACACGTGCTTTTAGTAATCTGAACTTTTATAAGTGGTGTGGTTTCAATGATGTTCAGTATATTTAAGATATTTTACAAATTTAATCTCTCTCTATTTGTCATGACTACGAATTCCAAACCTTTATCTGTTTGATTTCATAACCCACTGATTGAAAATGACAGTATTACAAGAAAACGAACGTATATATTTATATTTTTTGGCTATGAACAAATTAAATCCCCGCAAAAATAGTCTATGGTGGTGATTTATGTCTTTTTGAGCATTTCTAATAACTTTAGCCTGTCTGTTACGAACAGATGTTTCTGTCAGTTTGTAAAATGACTAGGCGTTTTACTCACTGACATTTAAACGTCCACGAACGAAAAGCCACGTGAAATCAACGACATCGTGTTATCTCGCCTCGAGGAAACGTAAAGGAATTTGCATGCTTCTGATCAAAGCTACAGCAAATGAATGAAAAGAAAATGCAAATATCATAATTACAACCGAAAAAAAATTAAAATTACCTTTTACTAGGAATGTGTCAGTCCATATTCACATATTTGAACATCCCATATATCCGCAGTTATACACAGACACTTGTGTGATGTCATCTGGCACTGTAACAATCTAAAAAAAATAATAGTTTTAAATCTATATATAGAGTTCCGTGACGTAACTCGTCTTCCTATCTCTGCTGGTCACATTAGAATGCTTCAGGTATTTCACACAGGTGTGAAGTCGTATTGGAGTTAGCACACGTGACAACTATTTTGATGATGCCCCGGTTTTTTAAATAATCTGTTGTTTGTTTGGAAAATTCCCCTATATTGCGGCGGTCTGTAAATAATCGAGTCTGGAACAGACAGTGATCAACATCATGATCATCGATCTACGCAAATAGGATACGATGACAAGTGTCATCTAGGTCAAAGGGCCTGACCACCCATACCCGTTAGTCGCCATTTACGACAAGCATGGGTTACTGAAGACCAATTATAAACCGGATCTTCACAGGGAAATAATTTGGTGAGTTAGTTAACAATGAACAGTCAACGCGTCATCGGACAGTTGTTGTTGTTGTTGTTGTTTATACACATAAAGGTGTTTTCCGTCTACTTTAGTAAATCTACATAATGGTTACTTTTGACAGATCCAAGAAAACAAGCATGGATCAAAGAATTGACCTACATTATGTTCACTGACTGGTCACTGTTATCTGTGCAAACACTGACCAGTCAGTCAACATAATGTTGGTTAATTCTTTGATCCATGTTTTTTTGCAAATCATTCCTGTCTTTGTGTGCTGGCTATTAGATATACATTCACCACGTCAGCCCAGGACCAAATGTCAGACCGATTGTTTGCTAAATAGAAACTACTATTTGCTATCTTTGACACCATCAGAAGCACTGGTGATATGTTATTCTGCAAAGTCATTGGCAGGTAATCTGAGTGGTGCTACCTCTAACTATACCTCTGATGAAGTCTTCGCTGAGCATCTTGGGAACAGCGACAATTGCACAGGTGGAGGGTTTTCTATACGATATGTATACCAACAAGTAACGCTGATTTTCTGACGTACGCGCAGTTTAGGTTGAAATTAACGTGTTTTCCACAACATTCAGAGGCAACAAAATAATCAACTGTTCTTCAATCTTCAATATCAGGTGCGTCAACTTCAGTTGTCAAAAAGCAAAATGTGAGTAAGTTCATTGTGCACAAAGTGCACGTGCCACGCACGATACGTGGCATCAAATTTCATTCAAAGTGCTTTGCTACATGTTTATATAGGGTTTTTTATATATCTTTTCAAGTAACTTCTATTTTATGCAATTTTATGTTATGTCCAGTTTCTTTTTTCCGTTAGTATGATTATGTCAGTTTGTTTGAAGTGGCTAGCACCACAGGCCCTCGTGTCTTTGCGAAGATTAATGATTTAAAAAGATTCTTTTTTTGGATGACTCCCCGACTCGAAATGCTTCACAGTACAATACATTATGACAAGGCCGGACACTTCGGTGTACCCAACCCGCTTGCTTTGCCGATCGCTACGCTACCATCGCATGCAATCGATTAAATTTAATGTGAACATAATCATGGATGATTGGCCTATCGAGCACCAATCATGAAACCTACCAATTCTTTATTGTTAT